GAACTAAAGTTCACTCATTTCTTCAAAGTTTCGCTCTCTCTCCTATTCTTAGTTTCTTTTCCGATTTACTAAGTGTTTCAGCTGTCGTCGTCGTTCTCCTTCACTATTGTTGTTGAACCACCGTTGATATTCATAAAGTCAAATAAGCATTACTTTCTGATTCTACTCTTTTGGTGTTTGTTTAAGCATTTCACATTTTTGCATGTTCTTGTATGTTCGCTTACGTCTCATTTGGCAGTTGTTTGGCCAATCCCAAGCGTCGGCGGCGCCGTCACGAATGATGAATTCTTGATGAAGTTCAGGAGTTATTGATCAAGTTCATGAATTATTGATCAAGTTCATTAATTCTTGATGAAGTTCATGTGTCGGGGAGGTTTTCCCCTGCGAGGTTCATGTTTCAGGAAACTTCTCCCTACGAAATTCATGAGTCTCCAATGAAGTTCATGTGTAGTGGGAGACTTGTCCGTCGGACCATCAGTCAAGGAGATCTCCCCATGATTTACGTTCTCGTCGTTGTATAAGGGTTTTGGTCGGGGATAGTGCCCTCGGTCCTTCCCACACCCTTTTACTTGATTTACACTGGAATGGTGGATTTGATTTGACCGTTGAATTCACTATTTTCCTCTGCTTTTCAGGTTTCATGGCTTATAATGCTGAAGGTCTTTGTCTGGTCGACACGACCAGAAATCCCAAATTGGCTTGGGTCAGGTTGGAACCTTGAGGAATAGCCTCTCATTTTGTTGAATACCCGGAGATCGCGTTTGCAATAGTCGAATAATGCGCGGGCCAGCCAGGCCATAAGGAGAATTAGGGGATTTACAAGTCTAAGAAGACAGAGCGGATCTGCTCGTATTTCTCGGGGAATCGTTTCTCCATGTATGAGTATGTTTTTAAGGAACTATGGCTTCGGTTGTCGTTCAGCGGCATACAAACGGACATTTTTGCCCATTTAGAGCTGGCGTCCTCCCAGTTGCACCCAAATTTGATCGTGTTTATCCGTGCTTTCCGAGATGGTGTGCACATATCTTAAGATCGGGGCCACCATCCCCCTATTCTTTGGTTATTTCCACCTTCAACGACAAACTTTGAATGGAAAACACATCTTGGTGTCCCTCAATCAGCCGAAGAGGCTTTTCAAGACATTCACAGACTCTGTCCGCACCTTCAAAGATAGGTACTATCTGGTTAAGGCCCTATCGTAAGTGGCCACTAATTCCATATTCGAGTGGGAGGTTGAAGTCGAGGAAGACATGAGTATTTGTCGTGATGAGACCTGGAAGGAAGTGGTGGTTCTGGTTTCAATGTTTACTCTTTGTTGGAGTAATAGTCACTTCACGTATGGTACGTATTACTATCTCACTCGGCCCGGTGACTTGGATCTCGAGGACGAGCATATCTATGAGAAGCTCGTGAAATTTGTCGATGATTTTACTCCTGCTCTGTGGGAGACTAAGAATGGAGAGGAGTTCCTCAATAATAAGGGTCAGCCGGTATACGAAGCTCGATACATAAACACCAAGGAGTTCCTTGGGTGTGAAACTATTGAAGAGGTTATAGTGTGTTTAGGTAATTGCGCTTTTATTTTCTTTTAGCATACTCGCATTCTTTTTTTTGTGTACTAACTTATGTCTATCGTTTATCGCAGATAAGATGTCCAACCTCCAGAACCGCGTGCTCAAGATGGTGCAGACCAGAGGGAAAGCTGCGAGGGTCAAAATAAATTTAGTAAGAGTCTCGTTGGCCCAGCCCCGAACCAGCCCAAGGACAGTTTCGTTACTTCATTAACTTTTCCAGATGTCGACCAGCCTTCTCTCGTGCAGGATTCGAGAAGAAAAAGGGGTCGCGATGAAGGAGATGTGGAGATAGACCTTACAGAGGACACTCTCGAAGCCAAATTCACTTTGCCTTCTTGCTTTCTTGAGAAGGGCTTCTTTGAGGGGTTTCCTCTAGATGTGCCTCGGGAAGAGTCTCTGATCATCCAGGGCCTTGATTTGGCGGGCAAGAGGAAAATGTTGGCTCAAGATGCAGCCGCCGTGATGAAGGTCTTGGAGATGGTTATGGTTCTCTCTAACGAGGAAACTTGCTCTGCTGCCGCGCTGGAGAAACTAATGACAACAAAAGTGAACCTTGAGTCAAAGGTGAACAGGATGGAATATGATTTTAATAATTATAAAGAAAAGTATCAAATCCAGACTGGGCTCGTCACCGATCTGAGGTAAAATGAGAAGGAAGTAGACAAGCTAACCGCAACGAGGGTGTCTGGTTGCTCGAGAAAAAAAATATCGAGGAAAGGATCACTGAGTTGAAGGCTACTGCCGAGCCTGTCGAGGATGAGGATGACGAGGTGAAATCCTTGAAGACCCGTGCCGAGTTGGTTTCTCAGATTCAGTACCTCGAGCAAGATTGCCTAAAGATTGTTGAGATGAGTTTTGACAACGCAGTGGTCCAGCTCAAGATTGTGAATCCCTGGGTCGAGCTTGTCATTGAGGGGACTGATTGCCTACGCAAGGTAGTAGATGGTCAGGTAGTACCTCCTCTTTGCTTACCTTCTGACGCAGAAGGGGACGAATACCTTCACCTCGAGGGGGAGCGGAATGACGGGGAGCTCGTTCATGAAGAGTAATTGATTTTAACTTTGTTGTTTTGTATGTCTTTGTCCGGGCCTGCACGCTTTTAATATTTAGATAATGGGCTTTTCCTGAATTCCGTTGTAATATTTTGAAACCTTTGACCTTAGTGGTCGTGATAATTTCTTGCACTTTATTTTATTTTACATGATTGCGTTTAAGTTTTAGTATATTGTATGCCTTATTTGTCAAGTGCTAGATTCCTCGGTTAATCACTCTGGGGGCTTGTCGGTCTGAGCAGCTCACAAGTAATTGTTCGTTTGCAAATTATTTCGCTAAGTGTTTAGGGGTCTTGCGTCGACAGTGTTGTTGCTCGACAGTGCGTGGAAACGATCGAGTGGTCAGAGTTAGGTTCCAGGATGATAGTGATAGAAAAGATGTCGGTCAAGATCTTCTTTCTGCAACGTAAACTTCCCATCGGGAGTTGGGCGTTCTGTCTTAATGGTACGACAATAGTGAAGCTCAGTTGAGGTATCCCTGTCGGGTCAAGATCCAACTCGTCAAAGAGCGCAAACTTGCCTTTTTGTATGAGTTTGGGAGATTGTGCTTGTACCCGAGCACGCCCCTGTGGTCGGGTCGTATCCCCTCGTCATTGAGTGGGGTACGCCGACTGTTGGACCTAACTGTAATATTGTTTAAATTTTTTGGTGTTCCATAGTCGAACAAGATGCTCCTCGTGTAAGTTTTTGAGGCAGTAGGCCCTATTTTCCTCTTTTTTTCCTGGACGCGATAGGGGTCTTCCAAGTTCGCGGCGAGATTGCCTTCGCGAGAATCCTTGTGGTTTCTTCTCAAAACTTGGCTGTAAGTTTTGAATTCTAACTTTATGACTTTGGCGTCATGTCCTATGGCTATCCTTTGTTAGCGAGGCTTCGTGGAGGGTTGCCCCTGATCGAACTTCTTTGATGAGATCAAGCTCTTCTCTTAGTGTCTCGTCGTTAATTTCCTCATCAAGGGAAAATTCTGTTCGAGTAGAGGGTTCCCAAATTTCTACTGGAATTACAGCTTCGGTTCCGTAAGTTAGTCAGAACAAAGTTTCCCCAATGGTCAAGTGTGGTGTCGTCTTGTAGGCCCAGAGTATGCTGTGTAGCTCCTCGACCCATCTCCCTTTAGCATCGCCTAATCTTCGCTTTATGCTGCGTAGGATTACTTTGTTCGCATCTTCAACGTGTCAGTTAGTTTGTAGGTGCTCGATAGCCGTGAAGTGTTGTTTGATGCCTAGTTTGGTGACGAACTGCTAGAAAGTTTTATCGGTAAACTGCGTCCCGTTGTCTGTGACGAGTGCCTGTGGTAATGCCGAATCGGGCGTATGTTTCTCTTGTAGAAACAGAGTATATTGTGGGTCGTGATTTTGGCGAGGGCCTCTGCCTCCATCCACTTCGTGAAGTAATTGACGCCGACTATTAGGTACTTGTTATGGCTCAACCCTGTGATAAATGGCCTGAGGATGTCCATACCCCATCAGACGAAAGACCACAAGGAGAAGAGATTTTTAAGCTCGTTAGGCAGTGCCAGGTGCATGTCTTTGTGGCATTGGCATTTATCAGATTTCTTGACGTGCTCTTTTGAGTCGTGTTATATAGTAGACCAGTAGTATCTTACTCGCAGAGTCTTCCTAGAAAGAAATCTTCCTCCAAAATATTGGCCACGGAAGACGTGGGCGAAAATATTAGATGATTTATGTTAATGATTTAAAATGAGGAACACGTGTTAATGATATAGGAAATTTTTGGACATGAAAGTTGAATTTTACTTCTGTGACTGGTTTTTCAGTGACGTTTTTAAGTTGAATTTTGTTGCTTGTAGCATTGCAGTCTGCACATTTTTGCCTGCCACGACTGTATGCAATCCGGATACATATATCTCTGTCTTGGTTCTAAGATGCACTTATGCAGACAAAATTAGCCTCACAATTTTGGCTAAGATTGCACTTTCCTCTTTGAACATGGCTCATTTCGTGCTATTTGTCTGTTATTGATGATATTAAGGAGACTGATGAAATCAAGGAGAAAGGCAACCCAGGCTCGACAAAATCAGCCTCACATTGGAGAAGCTCTACACGAGATAAAACTGAAAACTTAGGCAGAATAATTTAACCACCAGCCATGGAAATGCAGCTATTTATTCACTTTGAATCAAACAGAGGAAATTAAACAGGACAGTTCATCAAATCTTTGCAAACCCAAACTTGTGATAACAAAACGACCAAACTCAAACTAGTAATCACAAAATGACCAGTGTAAGAAAGAAAAAGATAAGAGACACTATTTTTTTGTACAGAATAAAAAATTGCATCAGAGACCTGAAAGCACTCCTAACACTAGAATTTGGAACCTTACAATGAACAATAGAAAGAAAAAAAATGTAGTCGAAGGTTTAACCAGTTCTGGTTCTCTTTCCAGACATACTGATGGAGCTAACTTTCATAGGAGTTGCTACCACCAATGGAGCTTCAGGGGAGTCACTAACGGCAAATTTGTCATGCATAAATCTTGATTCTATGATTGACTCATCCTTCAATATTATCTTGTAACAGTAACAGCTTTTCAGCCCTTCTTGATTCCTGTAACATTCATGAGCAGTGTTCTTTACCTGCTGAAAATCCCATATCACACTGAATTTGCCCACAGTTGCAACAAGGTGGCGTTCTTGTTTACCGTTCTCAGTAACCTGAAAGACAAAAAACAATTGATTAATAGATCCTGCAGGTTTAAATTAATTTTTCTAATTCACATTACATGCAAGTATGCAATATACATAATTGAATAAACAAGGAGTTCTATCTCAAGTTGCATAAAAGATTACTCATATTTATAACTCACTGATCACTACAAATGTACATGCTACACAGAATGCAAGATTGTTCTTTCAACTGTGCACAAATAGACATTTTCTGCCGTCATGTTTTATTCTCAAAATCATGCTCGCAACTTTTTTTAATAATTAAAATATCAACCCAATTCACAGATGGAGCAATCATGAATCACAATGACTTCTCAACCATCCAAAAACTATGTTTTGTACATCTTGTTGCCTTAAATCAGCTCCATGATAATTTCATCATTGCTATTACATTACCTCAATGCGTACAAAGCTTTTAACATTGCTACTGTAACTCAAACAAAAGAAACAGAAAACATATGCTCACTAGGTTTACCCGCATACTATTTCCAAATAAGACAGCGCAAGTTCAATCCAAGTATAAGCCTATAATAGCAAGAGAAATAATTGCCACTAAATAAATATAAGCTAAAATGAAAATTTCAATGACAAACTATTGACAATTCCAGCTTAATGAAGTTTGCAACTGAAAAGTTCTTTAATTAAAGCAATGTCATCAAAGCAATGTAAAAATATTAACTAGATTCAAAGTAGTTGATCAAAGAAAGTTAAAAATGTGCTTGTTAGGAAACCCACTTCCATTCTGTAAAGTGCATTTTAGGAAACACACTTCGATTCTGTCCAAAAATGGAAACACACTTCGACTTATTTTTTCAACAGTAAGAGGAGCAATTCAGGTTAATGGGACTATTATGGGATCTAACCAAAACAACAGTGTGTGTTGAACAGAAAGAAAGTATCAAATGTGTTTTGCTATCATTCATATTCATATGTCATGCAAATGTAAGAAGGTGCTACATGTCAATACAAAATAGAAAGCAATGAAACAGTAATGTAGAAGATTGATTGCTTACCCATGAGAAGTGACCACCATGAAACTTATTGGTAGTGCCTGCCAAATGAGAATCCAGGGGTGTTAGTTTCAACAGTCTGGGTGCACCTATCCTGTTTCCCATTCGACCACCAAATCCAGTCTTTGTCTTCCCATCTTTATCAGTAAACAATGTACAAATCAACACCAAATAAGTATCAGTGGTTCCCAACACCCACTTTCCATCAAAAGTGACATCAACACTTGTAATAGGCGAACCAAGCCCCGGAAAAGCAGTCTTAGCTTGTCTCATAGACGTTTTCGAATACAGTCTTATCTTCCCATCAAGAGATCCCACCACAATTGAACCATCTCCAGTTGTTGCAAAACACTGAAAGTTAGTTCCTCTTGAAAATTGATGCCCCTGATTCCAATGCAACACTGGAGAATTAGCCGAGGCAATATTTTGAACAATACCTTTTCTATCACGCATGTCCCATTGACACAATCGGTTATCGTCCAACCCTAAGAAGGTTGATTCAGAAGGGTCGAGTTGTGACCCTTTAGTATCATTTGTGATATCCCTCATTGTGATATCAGCCCCATCCTTCTCGAATTTCCACTCGGTAACAATCTTTCCGGTTTCTATATCAAGCTGATGAAGCTTCGAAGCATGTGGCTTTCCATTATTCAGGGGACTCATCAGCATCATGTTAGTCTCCGCTCTCATCAACAAAGCCTTGTTGGGAGTCTCTTCCCGGAGTTTCCCACCTTCGAATTTCACATCAACACCCTTGCGAATTCCCTTATCAAAATTCCGGTAAACATGAAAGCCAGTGTCATTAAGGAGGAAACTATTATCCAGAGCACCTAGGGTTAGGGTTTGAATACCTCCGTTCGCAGCCTCTTCGAACTCCTCCATCAAATCACCTCTAGATCGATACGGTTCAGGGCTCTTCCGGAAACCATCTTCCGAAGCATCCTCCCAAACCGAATCATCCGCGACTTCAGGCTTCACCCAACCGATAAACTCCTTGCCGTAAACCTTGATCTTGTTCTCTTCAGTTGGGGCGAGACCATAAACATTCTCGAATGTATGATCCTGAAATTCAGTGACGAAATTCCGGTAAGCTTCATCGGTGGGGAATTTAAGAGCCCAGACACCGTTAGAGACGAAATCAACCCGACGTTGATCACCGAACATCTTCAATTGAAGTTCAGTGGAAACCCTAGCGCTAATTTTGGAACCGACTTTGAGAATCCAAGGACCTTGAGCGGCGTCGTTTTGTTCATCTTCGTCGTCGTTGTCGTTATCTTCTTCGATTTTGACGAAGGTGTAGAAAGTGCGTTTATCGGAGAGGATCCATTTGGCGTTGGGAGTGTTGCCGCCGATGTGAAGGTAAAGTTTGACGGTGTTTTTAGGTGAAGGTGAAGGTGAAGAAGAAGGGTATTTGAGTTTTAAGGCTTTGAGTTTAGCGTCTACTTCGTCGAGTTGAGTGGAATGGGAATGGGGTTGAGAGTGAGATTGTGCGTCTTGGTATTCGTCTTCTACTGATTCATCTTCTTGTTCGTCGTAATCGGAGTCGGAATCGGTGAATTCACGGCCCTCGCGGCTCTGAGAAGCACCCATCAGATCAAAAACCAAATCGTGATGGAGTTGATATTTTCGGTGTGTTATGTTTGTTTTTGGGATTTGAATTGTGTGGGGGAGAATAATCCGTTAACGGCTTTTATAGTATGACTGCCTGCGTGGCGGTTGCTAATTTACTCGGGCAACACGCTCCCTGCTCTGCTGTCAGCTTTGCTAATTGCTATGAGCGTGAAATTAACGCACTATTTATACTACGTATTAAAAAAATAAGGCAAAAATAGCAATTAATTGAGTAGTGTAGTGTACTCTGAATTTACCTTTTTAAAAGTGAGTACGCTCCTTGTAATTTTTTGGGTGTTCTTTACGTGGTTGATTCATCATTCATGAAACGTTACTTCATACCTAAGGTTATGCTATATTCGTATGCCCTGAGAAACTAAAAGAAAATAGATATTTTTACACCATAAACTTACACTTACAGTCTTACACGCAATACAATCTTCACATATGTGAATAGTATTTTTATTATTTATTTTAATATTTTAATTTATTTTTTATTTTTTTAAATTGTTTTGTTAATTAAATATTAAAATTTAGTTAATACAGTTTTAAGTTTAATTAATATATATTCTGATATAAAAAAGTTAACATATGCGTTTCAAATTTTGGTTAATAATTTATATAAAATTGGAGTTAATGTAGTTTATAATTTGGTTAAAGAGTTTTCAAACATACAAAATATTAAATAGTAAAATAAAATTAGTTAATAGAGTATAAAATTTGTTAATATATTTATAATTAGTGTCAGAATATAGTTAATATTTTCTCCGATCATTTTTTATAAGAGATATTCCACCTTTGAATAATTAATGTATATGGTCTGTATTATAGACCAAATACATTAATTATTTAATAAATCTAAAAAGTTGGAATATCTCTTATAAAAAGCATCAAAGGAAGTACTATGTATTTTATTGGTTAATGAAGTACTGAAAGTGATTAATGGATTATAACTAAAATAATTAGTTAATAATATATATTTTATGGTTAATACAATTGTGAAGTTGGTTAATGATAAAATCATATATTTGTGTTATAAAATAAATTTTTAAAATAAATATTTTTTAAAAATAATATTATTTTAATAAAAATATATTGTTCAATGTATAATTACAATGTAAGTATTTAGTGTCAAAATAAGGTGTCAAGGTAGCAATGCTCAAGAAAATAATGTATGAAATAAAAGTGAATAAAAAGTTAAATGTTTTTTTTGTTTGGCTAGAGTAAAATGAACGAAATTAACTAATATAAGAGTTCATTCATAGAGTTTTTGCAAGAATAAAGAGTGAATTCTCATAGACGGTGTTATTGTATTTATTAGCATAGTTGAAATTCCTTGCTCAAAGGTTTCACTTTTTCTTATTACATTTGCTTTTCGTCAGCTTTGTCTTACCACCCTTCTCACCTCAAGCTTTTAATACCTTCAGCATTTCCTATACTTTAATCAAAATGGGTGATAGTCATATTAGCTTGGCTAGTGATTCTGAGAGGGATGTCTCTCCTATTGCGAGAACAAGAGTATCTCTTAGTTCAAACTCTTCTCCCTTTTTTTATGATCGCTTGAGCCCTAAGGTTAATACCGTAATTGATGTTTCTGATTCAAAAAGGCTTTTTGCGGGCTCATAGGATGAGGGAGTTTCCTTTAGGGTTTCTTCTTTCGATGCCCTCTTGTCTGATGATGACGTTGAGAAGGATCATACAACGACTTCCATGCTCTCATCTTCTTATTCGACAGGAGCTTTGACTTCTCCTACTTTATCAGTCTTGGACATGCAAGCCCCTGGGCTGTTGAGAGAATTTACTAGAGATTACATTCATATATTTCAGAGAACCTACAATTGAGACCCCAGTGATGCCGATATCAAGGAACATCTAGAGTGTAAGGATTGACCAAATGTGTTTTCTTGGCTTAAATTTGCCAAGCATTTGAAAGTTGATGATCTATCTTTGAAAAGGGTGACGTTGGTGGAGCCATCTGAAGCAATTAAATATAATTAGGTGGGTGCAGAAGTAGTAGGGACCCCTTCTATTTTAATTACTAAGGCGGATATAGACGAGGAAAACATTATGGTCGGTTGCCCTTTAGACTAGTTAGTCATTCTGGTGGATTCAGAAAAAAAGGATATGCAACCCTTTGACGGGTGTTAAGTTTTGGTTTATGAGTGTTTGTTCATCATGATAGGTATGTGGTTGCCTCTGTCTAAATTTGATGTGGTCGTATTGAAGTACTTGAAAGTTTCCCCTTCTCAGACTCAGCCAGGCTCCTGGGCTTTCATGACGGTGTTCCAACTTTGGGTTGTGTATAGGTCTTAGAAACCTTTTCCACGATTGTTCTTCAATCGGTTATACATTGTGCATACCTACCAGAATGATATACATGACCAATGGATTATCGAACCTTTCTATAACCTTCCTTGAATCCCATTCACTAACGATTAGGGTGATTTCCTAAGGCGCTTCATGTTGGTGAGGTCCCTTACTCCAATGATCATTTTCCCTTCTACTATAGATCGTCAAGTCCTATCATTATTACAAGAGAATGTTTGTGAATCATTATCCATGGCCTAATTTCCGTTCTACAACTCATTCCTACAACATCAAGTTGGATTCATTCTCGACTAAAGAGGTTATGATGAGATAGGATTTGGAGTCCTTCTATCAAGGAGTTGGTTAAGAAGAAGGGTCCGGCCCTAATAAAATGTTATCTTCCTTACAAAGGAATAAATTGATTGATACTCGCATTATTATGAGTGCAGTCGGTCACGTATAGAGGAAGAAATCTTTGGTGATGGCAGAGTCCTATAGTTTTTTTACATGTGTCACTATAGTTTTGCATATAAAATGGGTAAGTTGCAAATCATTTTATCTATTTCCTCTGCTCAAGTTATCAAACTGGGTCATGTTGGTCATGTTGTTACACCTCTCCATACGATTCATGCACCTTAGTATATTGTCGAGGCTATTCCAAATGCCCCGGTGTTGACCAACTTACTATTATTACTGCCACTTTGTCAGTGGAAGATTAGTTGCATCCTTCTACTGCTCTAGCAAAGAGAGGTTGGGACTAGGATTAACATTCCCCTTTGGAGGAGTATTCCTCTAAACGGATATGTCTTTCCAGGGGTGCCACTTCGACGTTAGTTACTCCTTTCCTCCGACTTTCCACCATTCGTCCTGCTCATATTCCTCGCACTCTCGAGGAAGTTGTTACCCATGTGTCTACGAAGGATCTGTTCTTTGTCCAAAATCTTCTTGAGACAGACAAAATTGAGCTTCTTTCTAAGGTCACCTATCATATTTATAGGGAAACTTCTCATTTCTCTTTAGTTGCTACTAGTTAGGGTGATATCTTGGCCGTAGGTAATTCTTCCAAGGAGGGGGATACCTAGAAGGGAAATGCAAAATTATAGAGCAGAAGTGCTCTAAATTCCAGAAGGAAACCATTACCCTCCAGAAGAAAGTCAATTGTGTTGAACCATGTTATGCATGTTATTAAAAGAGGTTATCAAAGATAAAGATGACTATCATGGTTTTCTTTTGATGGTGTGCTTTTTATTATGACAATTTAGTTTCATTGATGTCAACTTTGGAAGATGACAACTAGCTAGTGATGATGCAACATTTTTTGTCAAGTGCTCAAAGATGAACAAGACAATTTTGTCCAAAGCATTTTTTTCTCCGAATCAAGCAGATGAACTAAGGTTTTGATTATCTCTATCCGCTAATGATGTAACTCAATTTAAATATATCCCGAGCCTAATATCCAAGAAGATTCAAGCAAGTGTTTATAGGATTAATTTATCTGGTAAGCCTTAAAGCTTTAGAGTGTGAAAGAGATTAAGTGTGAAAGTTTGACCAGTCGTGTTCGAGTGATATGTATTTTGTCAAAATACAAAGGTTTATTTGTAAATTAATATGAAAAAATCACACACATACTAAATGTTTTCAAACCTCCATTTATTCAAGAAAACAACCTTAAAATGTTTTGAAACCATGCCAGATGAACCAAGAATTGTCAGAATAGTTTTGGACAAATTCTTAAACTATCCAATCGATTAGCACATATACCCAATCAATTGGGTTAGTGCAAACGTTTTCCATAAATTATTTTGATAGTGTATTAATGAAGGTAAACATCTCTCTATAAATTCTTTCTGTTTTGAGCTTTTGCAAACGATTATTTGGGGCATCTAATCAATTGTCCTAAGGTCCGAGTCAATTGGATCATTAATTTGACCCATGGATCTTTTTTTTGTTAATCTTTAGTCTATAAATAGATGAATATCTTCTCACATTTTAACATCCAAAAATGTGAGTTCTCTATCTCACTAATCTCTCTCTCTAAAAATATTCTACTTTCTCTCACTTTAATTTAGCCATAGCATTTCGAGAAATTCTCTATGTTCAAGCGAGTTTTGTATTCTGGAAAAAGGATGACATTGTAAATTTATCAAGCGGTATTTTTTATCTTGGTTGAATAATTTCTCTTAAGGGAGTGTTTGTTTAGGTTTAAACATAAACTCGTTAAAATCTTGGTTTTGGGATTTAGTATTAAGCCTCTAGTTCGGTTTGTGAGCTCAGCTAGGGTAAACGTTCCACTTGGTTCGAGATCAGTCTAGGGCAAAATCTCAAATTGATTTTTGGTCAGCTTGTGTAAAACCCCAGTTTGGTTAGATATTATCATGGTGTAAAATCTCAAATCGGTTCATAGTCACCCCATGTAAAACCTAGTTTCGATTAAAAGGATAGACAATTCAAAACTCCATGTTTTATTTGAGATAAGTTCGTATAAAATCTAGGTTTAGCTTAGGGACTAACCGCTTCAAGTTCTTGTTTGGAAAGAAGATTAACGGTTTCCCTCTATTGTTCATTGTTTGTTTAGAAGTTAACTTGAAACTTCATTTTCCTTGTATAAGGGGGTTAATAAGCTCAACCTACTAAAAGCTTATAAGAATTACTGAATACTCTCAAGAGCAAGT